AGTACAATGGAGTGTTATGAATACAAATGAGATCAATAGTCCAGCATGGGAGCACTTGGGCAGGACTAACAACACACACTGCTCAAGATTTTAATGAAGCAGAGGCAGTGTTCTCAGTTCACTACCAGAAGTTGTATGTTTTCGGAGACATATGTTCATCTATATGAAATTAATATACGTATGTGCACAGGTTTTTTTTTTTTCCTCCCTAGAGGGGGGAGATCAGCCTTAGCAGATCTCAATGTTATGCTTTTCATGAGAATTGTGGTAGAGAGGATATCTTCTAGCAGTGATAATTGGAGGGGGTTTCCCTTACTTTGGGGAGGCTTTCACTTTCTTTTATGTCTCTGAATTAGGAGGATTTCTCTACTTTGTCACAAATATAGAACAATATAAGCCTGACTGAGGCTCTAACACAACTAAATAATAAATCCCCTTCCAAGCCTGTGACTGGCTGATGAAGGTACAAACTGTAGGCATGTTACAGCAATGTGCACACAGCATTGGAGCTCGGATTGGCTCAAACTGTTGGCATGCCTATGGCGTATTTATTATTTATTTCAGGTACTTCTATAGCGCCATCAGTTTATGCAGCACTTTACATATATATTGTACATTCACATCAGTCCCTAACCCTCAAGGGGTGTCCAATGTAAGGTCCCTAACTTACATTCATACATACTAGGGCCAATTTAGACAGGAGCCAATTAATCTACAAGCATGTCTTTGGAATGTGGGAGGAAACAGGAGTACCACGCAGGCACAGGGAGAACATGCAAAGTCTTAAATCAAGAACTATTCTACTCAATTCAGTCTATAGAAAGTTACTACTCAGGTACAGCCGGTCCTGCAGAAGACCATAATGTGAATAAACTGTGTATAGGGCACACTGTACATTACATACACTGCTTTGTTAATTTCATATTATATAATAGATAATCCCTGTGCTACTACTTGTACTATAAACTACTGGAGGTCAAAAAAAAATATTGTGAGTAAAAGGTTTGTTGCTAAGCATTATTGAGTTCTTGGGCCACAAAAAAAAAAAAAAAAAAAAAGAAAAAAAAAAAAGTGCAGCACTACCTTACTAATCAATAACTTTTTGTTTAGGAAGGTAGTGCTGCACTGTTTTTTTATATTTTTTATTTCATTATGCTTTTTCCCCTCTGTATACTGGGCTGTATGTTGCATATTGTGGAAAACACTCTGTATGCTGTGCTGTATGTTATATACTCTAGACCACTTCACATTGTTAAGTTGTGCTATGTATTAAATACATATGGACTTCACTCTCTACAGCTGTGCGGTTTGTTACGTACTCCTGTACTCCTGACTACTCCACCGTGACTACTATAATACTTACGTACTCCTGACTACTCCACCGTGTACTATAAATTACGTACTCCTGACTACTCCACCGTGTACTATAAATTACGTACTCCTGACTACCCCACTGCGTACTGTAAATTACGTACTCCTGACTACTCCACTGTGTACTGTAAATTATGTACTCCTGAATACTCCACTGTGTGTAGGGTAAATTATGTGCTCCTGACTACTCCACTGTGTACTGTAAATTACGTACTCCTGATTACTCCACTGTGTAGTGTAACTTATGTACTCCTGAATACTCCACTGTGTGTAGGGTAAATTATGTGCTCCTGACTACTCCACTGTGTAGTGTAAATTACGTACTCCTGACTACTCCACTGTGTAGTGTAAATTACGTACTCCTGACTGCTCCACTGTGTAGTGTAAATTACGTACTCCTGACTACTCCACTGTGTAGTGTAAATTATGTACTCCTGACTACTCCACTGTGTGTAGTGTAAATCTCTAGCGGCGAGCACAGATGATGGAGCGGCTGCACTCCAAGCCTCATTGTGAAGCCGAGTTCCGGTTTTCCGGCTTCTTCGGCACCACCGCTGAGGGGACAGGTGCAGGAGAGGTCCTCTCTCCTCCGCTGAGAGGAGACACCCTCTCCACCGCCGCGGGGGACTAAAGGGACTAGTAAGTACTGTATACATGTCATATCACTTTAATGGAGTACAGGGGAGAGCTGGGATATACATTACTGTATACATGTCATATCACTATAATGGAGTACAGGGGAGCTGGGATATACATTACTGTGTACAGTTTTATATTTTGGACTCTTTATTTTAAAGAAAAATGTAATTTCATAAGCTTTAAGGGGGCATGGCTGGAGGTGGGGTTGGAGGCGGCCCTGGGCAAGGTTGGGTGGGGCAACTGGTGGAGAGTAAAGTTTACGCCTGGCTAGTAGGTCTAGACTTGAAATTTAAAGCCCTGGTGTAAATTACGTACTCCCGACTACTCCACTGTGCGTACTGCAAATTAAGTACTCCTGACTACTTCACTGTGTACTGTAAATTGCGTACTCCTGACATCTCCACTGTGTACTGTAAATTATGTACTCCTGAATACTCCACTGTGTGTAGGGTAAATTATGTACTCCTGACTGCTCCACTGTGTACTGTAAATTACGTACTCCTGACTACTCCACTGTGTACTGTAAATTACATACTCCTGACTACTCCACTGTGTACTGTAAATTACATACTCCTGACTACTCCACTGTGTGTAGGGTAAATTATGTACTCTTGACTACTCCACTGTGTACTATAAATTACGTACTCCTGACTACTCCACTGTGTGTAGTGTAAATCAGGGCTTGAAAAAGCCCGCTCGCCCAATGTGAGGAGAAAATTCTCTAGCGGCGAGCACAGATGGATGGAGCGGCTCCACTCCAAGCCTCATTGTGAAGCCGAGTTCTGGTTTCCAAGTTCCGGTTTTTCCGACTTCTTCGGCACCACCGCTGAGGGGACAGGTGCAGGAGAGGTCCACTCTCCTCCGCTGAGAGGAGACACCCTCTCCACCGCTGCGGGGGACTAAAGGAGTAAGTACTGTATACATGTCATATCACTATAATGGAGTACAGGGGAGCTGGGATATACTGTGTGTACTGTAAATTACGTACTCCTGACTACTCCACTGTGCGTACTGTAAAGTACTCCTGACTACTCCACTGTGCGTACTGTACTGTAAATTACGTACTCCTGAATACTTCACTGTGCGTACTGTAAATTACGTACTCCTGACTACTCCACTGTGCGTACTGTAAATTAAGTGCTCCTGACTACTTCACTGTGTGTACTGTAAATTAAGTTACCTGACTACTACACTGTGCGTACTGTAAATTACGTACTCCATGACTACTCCACTGTGCGTACTGTAAATTACCTGACTACTACTCCTGACTACTCTCACTGTGCGTACTGTAAATTACGTACTCCTGTGCGTACTGAAAATACTCCACTGTGCGTACTGTAAATTACGTACTGACTACTCCACTGTGCGTACTGTAAATTAAGTGCTCCTGACTACTTCACTGTGTGTACTGTAAATTACGTACTCCTGACTACTCCACTGTGCATACTGTAAATTATGTACTCCTTGACTACTCCACTGTGTGTACTGTAAATTAAGTGCTCCTGACTACTTCACTGTGCGTACTGTAAATTAAGTACTTCTGACTACTCCACTGTGCGTACTGTAAATTAAGTGCTCCTGACTACTTCACTGTGCGTACTGTAAATTAAGTACTTCTGACTACTCCACTGTGTACTGTAAATTACATTTTATGGACCATCTCTCTGTATGCAGGGCTGTAATTTTATATACTTATAATACTGATCATCAATGTATTATCAGAGCAGTAAAACACTGTTCATACGTCTAAGAATCTTTTTGAACTTTGGATTTTATCATGCAGGTACAGAATGTGTGCCACATTTTTATAAAAGGGATGAAATTCCAAACATATGCCCGTTTACATTTGGGAAACAACAAATGCAGTTTTGTCATAATAGGCCACTTCACTCAAAAGAGGAAAAGAAGTCGGACCATTGCTTGCTTTGCCATATATACAACAGATTTTAATTATACTGAAAATAAATTACAGGAAACGGCTTTAAATTTTAAACAGGACAAATAGGATTCACAACAAAAATGCTCATTTTTTTCCTCCACCCATTGGGCTGAGACAGCAGTGCTCAAGGCAGGTAAATATCACAAATATATCAAAACTTGAGATTGGTTGATGCATTCACACTTACATGAGTCACAAACGGTCCCCAAGCAGGGACTTCACTTAGCCTACCACAGAACCGGGATTTGGCATGGACTACAAAAACTTGATACAAAATTGGTATTTATATTATTTATATATATATCATATACATGCCCTATCTGATCTTGTATAGAAAATAACAAATGCTGTACAGATGATCTGAGCTCCTAAAGCCGTAGCCTATGCTTCTGGATGGACTGTGCCCCACCCACCCCAATAAAATTAATGGCATACAGTATATACATGAAGGCTAAACAGATAGGGGGAACAAAATCCACTGCCCCATCTCCCCTGATATGCTTCTATGTTATGGCAGGTTCTTGGATTAAAAAAGGCATTTGTTTTTACAAAGGTTCCTTTGTATTAAGCTATGCATACTGTATGTGAAAAGGGAACATGTACCAAAGGCAGTGAATTTACCAGGAAATCTCTTTATAACCCAATCTATCATAAATATAATTATATGGAATATAAATATTTAAAATGTATAATCGGACACTACATTCATTCTTTTAGAAGAGCATCATTTAACGTTGTGGTTACATGTATTTAGACAAGAAGGGAGGCAAACTGATTGAAACAAAGCAAAGTTCTGTGATCAACTGATGTCAAAGTGCAGAAGCACTACTGATGCACTGACCATTTTTTTTGCCACTAGAGGGCAAAGCAGCATCCATGACTGTTTCCATAAAGAGAGCTACATAGCTAATCCACCGGGAACAGATGTGTGGCAGCATTTCAATTAATCAGTTTCTATTCCATCTAACTGTAAACTTTGGTTTCAGTTTAGCGTTGTCATTGTACAAAACAAGCATGGGATAGGAAAGGATGCAGTTGGAGAAATGGATTGTCAGTCAGTCTTTATCCGAGAAGCTTGAGTCACTTGCTCTGTAAGACCTGCCTTGATTGAGTTTGTCACAGTTTGTCTTATGTTATCTTCCATCAAGTTATCACTCAGTGGCTTCAACACCTGGTGTCCCAAAAAAAAGAGAGAAAAAAGAACATGCAAAAATTTGATGAAAAATAAAACATAAAAGGCATAAATGACATGCAATGTAAACAATTGAAAATAAAAATAAACTAAACAAAAAAACATGATAAAACTTGTGCTCCTACAACACCTCTCACCCTGTGAATTTGGTTGCAGTTATTAAATGAATAGTACACATAGCATAATTCCATATGTCAAGGGCAGGGAACCTGTGACTCTCCAGCTGGCAAAGCATGCTGGGAATGAACAGCTGGAGGCACACTGGTTTCCAGGCCCAGCCCTGTAAGAACTCAGGAACTTGTAATAAGCTTGTTACACCAGTTTTGATTACTGTCCCAGGAGTAGAAACAAAATGTCTCAGAGAAGCAAAGGAAAGGTGAATGTATGCTTTAATTTTTCTTCTTGTTATTGTTTGATGACCTTCTGTGTCTTTGTTTTGAAATGAAAGCTTGGCGAGCCAGACGACGTTTACAAACTTCGTAGAGTTTGGAAAAGACCTGGAACATGAAGTGGTTGATTAGGTACAGAAAGCCCATAGAAAAGGATAGAAGGAGGAAAAATGGAGGTATAGTTCAGTGCTGAAAGGCATGAGGAGTATGGCCATAATCTGTAAATTCTTACCAACATTCTCTTTTTACGACATGGCGACTGTAGCACAGACTAAGACAGGAATGTTCTCTTCAGCCAGATTTACTTAGCATTATATTACCAATATTAGGGATCTGGATTTATGGCTGTAAAGCTGACAGGTGTTCATTTGAGGCCTAAAGTATGATGACTGACTAATAAGGTAAGAGTTACTATATACTCCAGTTCCACTGGGGAAAAACATTATTTGATCCCCTGCAGATTTTATAAGTTTGCCAACTGACAAAGAAATGAAGGGTCTATAATTTTTATCATAGGTGTATTTTAAATGATAGAGACAAAATATCAACCAAAAATCCAGGAAAAACAACACATACTGTACAAAATGTTATAAATGGAGTTGCAGTTCAGTGAGTAAAATAAGTATTTGATCCCCTATCAACCAACAATAATTCTGACTCCCGCAGATTGGCTATGTGCTCATGTGTGGTTCTAACAACAACTCGTTATGTGTATAAAAGACACCTGTTCACAGAATCTTTCTTCCATTCAAACCTCACCACCATGGGCAAATGACTAAAGAGCAATCAAAAGATGTCAGGGAAAAGACTGTAGACCTATGGATCTATTGGACTGGACTACATGGGCCAGCTTTTGCTACCCACATGCATCAAAAAGCCTTGGTGGCCCATGAACCTATCACCAGTTTTCCTTCCTTGGGCCACATTTGGTAGATCCTAACCGAGAACCTCCCACAAGCTGCAGTTTTGGGGATGCTCTGACCTAGTCTTCTAGCCCTTAAAATTTGTCCCCTGTCAATTGTGCTCAAATTCTTACACTTGCCCATTTTTTCTGCTTTCAACAAATCAGCTTTAGAGACATGTTCACTTTCTGCCTAATATATTCCACCTACTGTCATATGCCATTGTAGCAAGATAATTAATGCTATTTACTTAAACTGTCAGTGGTCACAATGTTATGCCTGAGCAGCGTGTGAAGTTTGTATAACTATATATTTTAATTAGCAATAAAAAATTTACAAGGACAGTGATGCTTTGCATACATAGGCCTACACTTAATCACGAGATGGAGTATATTGTCATCTGTGCTTATAAATAAGGAACTTATTCTCTTGTTTTGATAAACTCAGTGTACGTAACCATTTATTGCACATTTTAGGCTTTCAGTAGCTTCTTACCAGGACCAATGTTGCAAAATCAATGTTAATGGCCACAACTTCACATTTTATAGGGGAGGTGAGGTAATGGTAAGGATTTGCTCTAAGATAGCAGTACAACTAAGGAATACCCTTTCTGGTTCTAAGAAATAGTACCACACCAGTATAAAATTATGCTCTGACTTCTTACACGAGTGTGAAACGGTTGCCAGCCCCATGAGAAATATGGCTGACTGTTCCAGGCCACGGTCTAAGACAGCCTCTCAACCTTTCAAATACAGAGGAACCCTTGAAATAACTTTCTGGTCTTAGGAAATCCCTGCTAAACATGACTATATCTACAACGTGTGATACATTAGTGTGGTGGTCAGTAGGAAGAATGCTCCTTACACTTGTGGTCACTGGGAAGAAACCCCCTTACAGCTAGCTAAAAATATCAATATCAGTGGGAATTTACAGTATGTGAGGCAGAAATTGCTCATCACTCAAGAAACCCCTTGCAACCTCTGAAGGGACCCCGCTTGAGAAACCCTTGTCTAAGATAACAACTGTATATTGCAAAAATAAAGTTGAAAATTCTTGCAGCTAAATTATACTAGATGTGCACCTAATGCTGTCAGTCATTTTCTTGCTAAATCGCACTGTAACTTGGGATATAGCTACCCAATTAGTCTTCAGTCTGTTTACACTCAGCCATTTTGCCAGTTTGCGGTGGACTCTTCCTAAGCAACTGCTACAGCATAGAACTTCTGGTTAAATGTACCAAACGCAGGTGTAGGACCTTCTACCAGGGCCAGAGTATATGCCATTCAGTTCTGAACTATGCCTTAAAGAATGATGACAGCACCTCACCTTTTTCGGACTCCTCTGTGTAGCAAAGTGAAAAGACAAAGAAAGAAGGAAGGGGATAATTGTTACGTGATTAGAAAGGTTAGAATAATATTAGCAGGAAATCAAATAAAGATCATAGGGAAAATATACAAAACAGCATCTCTTGTAGAATGAGCCGACAGTCTCATGCTTACCATGTACAAAAAAAAACAAAAAAACAGAAACTGCCACAGAACAGAGTTCTATTCCTGAACTTTGTGCATACATGATTCTTCATGAAATCAGGATACAAAAACCCACTAAATTAGAAAGGCACATTGAAACCTGCAAGCTTCCCAGTAAAAGGCCATTAAGAACAATATTCAGAGTAGACCTACAAGCAAAACCATTTTGAAGAGAGTAAGGGAGGGTCATAACCCATGTCAGTTTTTTTTGCAGCTCGGATTCCATTGGGGAGATTTAGCCTCACTTCCTGACTGTCAAACAGGAAGTGACAGGAAGGAAATCCCTGAAAACTAGGGAAATACTCTGCCCCCCATCCCTGGTCAGCAGATTTCCCAATTTTCTGCTGGAAAATTGAGGGATGGGTAATGGCATTACAGTATGGATCTTAGCTTGGGGGCTGACTGCTACACTGAGCCATGCAGATTATTATCATTAACTTTTTCCTTTTTAACTTGTAGGCATTTGTATCAGTACTCTGCGTTTGTGGATGTGGATCCCTCTCTTGCTTCTTTTGCCCTTTTGTATTTGTCTTGGGTGGCCCTGGTGGCTATGAGTTGGGTTTGTGGGTGCATTGTAATAACTTTGTGATATTAATTGTATACCACCATTAATATCAGTTCTTCCCTTGGGAGAGGACATAATAGCTAATTTTTAACTTGTTTCATTCATATATTATATATATGTATGTTTTTTGTATTCATTAGCTGTCCAAGTTTTTAAGTCTACTGTAATCCACAGTACCTCATGAAGGTTTAACATTGAGTTACTACGAACACTGTATACTGGTACCCATCATTATACTCTAGTGCGCCTACTGAACCAGGTGCGTGGACCTAGCCTAAATTCCCTTTTTGGGGCAAGATTAGAGTGTTCATTCTGGTTTTTTTCTTTCCTCCTCTCCTCCCCAGCTCACAGTTTGGCCTGTTTGTGTACCCCCACATCTGTCACCTAGGGGGTATCCAAGGGAAGCTTAGGGTCTACCCGTACCCCTGGATATATTGCATGCAAGGACAGTGAGCATGTTCATTTTGTTCATAGTAAAACCTGCACATTGCTATGATGTCAGTATATTGTTATTGTATATAGCACGGTTGAGTTTCTGCGTGAAGAAGCAGAGTGTTGTCACAAAATGCATCAAGATCAACATTTCCCCATCTAGGCATCCCCAATGCAGAAAAACATTTGTTTTTAAGTCAGCTTATGGCTGAGCAGCTGCTTGTTATTTATTTATATACAGTTCTCAGCATAAAGTAGTACACCCCTTTTAAAAAGTAAGATTTTAATCAAGATCTCAATGAACTCAAGAACAATTTCCAAAATTTTGACAAAATGGAGTTTTATAGAACATTTGTTTAGCTCATTACATGAAAGTAAGTTTAATATTATAACTTAGGTTACAAAATCTTCAGTTTTACTCAAATTAGTGGATGCAAAAATGAATACACCTCACAAAAAATACTACTACATCTAATATTTTGTATGACCTCCATGATTTTTAAGGAGAGGACCAAGTCTTCTAGGCATGGAATGAACAAGTTGGTGACATTTCAATATCTACCTTTATCCATTCTTTAAGAACATCCTCTTTTAGAACCTGGATGCTGGATGGAGAGTGATGCTCAACTTCTCTTCAGAATACCCCATAGGTGTTCGATTGGGTTCAGATCAGGAGATATACAGTACTTGGTCACTGATTCACTTTCACCCCGTTCTTCAGAAATGCAACAGTGGCTTTAGGATCATCGTCATGTTGGAAAAGTGCACGACGACCAAGGGCACGGAGTGATGGTAGCATCTTCTCTTACTATATATAGAGCAGTACATCTGTGAATTCATGATACCATCAATGAATGCAGCTCCCCCACACCAGCAGCACTCATGCAGTCCCACAGAAGGACACTGCCACCACCATGTTTCACTGTAGGCACCATGCATTTTCCTTTGTACTCCTCACCTTTGCGACGCCATACAGTTTTGAAGCCATCAGTTCCAAAAACAGTTATCTCGGTCTCATCACTCCAGAGTACAGAGGACCAACATTCTTCTTTTTCAGCATGGGCCCTGGCAAATTTTAGGCTAGCTTTTTTGTGCGTGGGCTTTAGGAGACGCTTTCTTTGTGGACAACACCCATGCATGCCATTCCTCTGCAGCGTACGCT